GTCCCAAACAGGATAGTTCAACGACCGGCCAGTAGTCATGAACTACCAAAAGCCTAACTCAACTCAGGACATTAGGAAATTAACGTGGTATACTTGTATCATGTAGTGTCATTTTGAGGTGTTACAGGATACAACTGTACGTGTACCCTACTTTTTTAAAATTTTACCATATCAGCATATCTGTATTGTATCAGTACCCATACCCGTACATGTGTTTCATAGCCATCTAGGGATTGGTTAATGACGATCCAGATACAAGGTAACTTGAGCCCAATTAGGCTGGGCTGGGCTGGGCTGGACTAGGGCAGAAGATATCTTGGTTTATCAAAAAAGAAAAAAAGTTGCGAAATACAAGGCTTCTTTTATTTTAATTAGTTTCATTAACTTCAAATAAACTATGCATATATTTAACAAATAATATATTTATAAATAAATAAATAAAAATTTCTTATGTATCCTAAGTATATCGTGTCCTACGTTTTTTGAAAATCGTTGTTCCAGCAAGTCGTGTGTCTGTGTTTCTGCACATAGAAGCTCCTACCACAAAATTCTCACCACTAAATAGTTACTCCAATTTAATTTCCTACATATGAACCAATTCCCCTTCCATGTCCACAAAACACCTTTACAAATTCTACCTTTGTTTGGGTCATTTACAAATCTTAGGTTCCAACACATTTTTCCCCACAAGGATCCACATAAACAAATTTCCATCTCGTACTTGTTTTGAAGCTGAAAATTTGTAAGCTCCCTAGCTTTGCAAGAGCCTTGCACTAGCCCTAGCTCCCCTCACTTGCAATCTATCCAAGATCTCCACCTTTGCTAAATTTGCTAATGTACGACCAACCGCCGAGGAAAGAACAAGAATAACGAAAATAAGGAATAAGCCACACAAAACGAAATAAAATAAACCCTAAATATTCAAAACTAAGATTATCAATTTTCAATTCATTGAAAGCTAACAAACCCACCTGCATAAAAGCCTACTTATAGGAAACCAAAAAACCCTAATAACAGTTTCCACAAATAAAAAATCCTCACTAAATACAAAACACCTTGACATTAAATTAAGAAAATCATTCTCTAATCTTCATCCAACTCCTTTTCTATCTGCATCATCTCAAAATACCTTCACCACTTCTCAAATCTTTCATAAGAAACTCCCAAATACCAGATTGGCCCTGCAATCATTTTGAGAACACAAGATGAAATCTCCAATCATTCTCTAATCTTCATCCAACTCCTTTTCTATCTGCATCATCTCAAAATACCTTCACCACTTCTCAAATCTTTCATAAGAAACTCCCAAATACCAGATTGGCCCTGCAATCATTTTGAGAACACAAGATGAAATCTCCAATCATTCTCTAATCTTCATCCAACTCCTTTTCTATCTGCATCATCTCAAAATACCTTCACCACTTCTCAAATCTTTCATAAGGAGCAGTGAAAGCAACAAATCCTGGTAATTATTATATACTCAATGAACTATTAACTATTTTAATTATATATTACTGTTACATTGTCAACACTTCTATATCAAATTATAACATAATCACTAATATTTGATTGATTTGTATATAGCTGAATGGTGGATCCATTATGGTACATCGGCTCCGGCACTCCAAAAAGTGGCTGTGAGAGTATTGAGCCAAACCACGTCTTATTTTAATTGTGAGCGCAAATGGAGTACATTTAGCCTGATACATACAAAGACAAGGAATCGGTTGAAGTATAAAAAATTAAATAAACTTGTTTATGTGTATTACAATATGAGGCTAAAGATCAGACATGCAACACGAAAAAGCCAAGATGACAGAGAGGAATCTTTTAACCCCATCAATCTTGACTATATATTTGAAGAAGGTGATCTATTAACTCCATGGCTTCAAGAGAGAGAACATGCAGTCTTGGATGATGAAGATAACTCGGGTTGGTTGATTGTTGATGATGATAGTGAGGGAGACTAGTAGCCAAGCACCTTAACACCATCAAAAAGTAGGGTCTGCTGGAAGTGACTCTAGTGAGGGTCGCGGTTTGAGTCCACCTAATGGTAGTAAAGATGATAATGATGGCAGTATGATGGTAGTCGTCCTCCAACAGGTGGTGGTAGTGGTGGACAATGGGAGTCTGCAGGTTCTGCACATGGTTGTAGACGCAGTACTCATCATATTGATCATGATTGGAACAGGGATTCTACACAGCAACGACGACATTCTATTTCTACTCCTGATGTAGAAGCATCAATTGGGCGTTCACGACATATTGATGATATTTATGGTCATCGTGACCTTAGAAATCAATTTGGACATCTCGGAGTTAGACAAGAAGATGGAAGGGGAACTCAACATTGGCAACCAATATGCCAAGTACCATATCCTTATTACCCTCCTCCAAGTCAACCACCACCACACATCTATCAACCACCTTATATGGAAAATTGGAACTACTCTCAACAACCTCATCAATATCCATATATAGAGGGTTTCAATTATGGTACAGGGGGGCTTGCAATGACACAACAACAATCAAGTAGCAGTGGCAGCAACAACACTACTTATGATCAATGCACTTTCAATAACTACTACCATGAATATCAATATGGAGAAATAGGCCAACCAAGTCATAGTGATGATCAAAGTGATGTGAGATATGGAGATTCTTCTGTACCACCGTGTAATTCTTTTTATTACTAAGTTTTAGAGTTGTTGATTTGTAGTAGATTGTTTGTATGCGATTATGATTGAAACGAATGATTTATTTTCATGTCCCTCTTTCTCTTATTAATTTGTTGTGCATGTGGAAGTATTTCATTGTTGAAAATAAGTAAAAAAATATTTCCACATCAATTTTATATTAAAAGTTTAACATATATGCCAAATAAAAGGTTGAGACTAAAATAAATACATATCATTTAGTTGAAAATGAGTCAAAAAAGTGCCTCTACATATCAAAATTTTGATTAAAATGTGATAAATTAAGGCTAAAAGAGTCAAAAAAAATGCATAAAATTGAGTTTTAGATGGATTGCTAATGATTTTTGAAATTTCACAGCCGCGACGCCCGATACCCAATACGTACCAGTCGATATTACCGATACCGATACTCCGCGATCGATACCGATACCGTTACGTTACCCGATACCGCGATTTAGAATACGGATAATCTACTTCTGGGATTCATGGCTTGAGCTTCTTCTGGGTTTTCATTTCTCTCGGTGGAGAGTTTGTTTCAATAGTAGAAGATAGTTGGTGGAGTGGTGGTGCAGTGGTTTCGCTCATCATCTCTCTAAGTTTTCAGTAGGAAGGAGGAGTGAGTGAACCTCCTCCACGATAGCTGGAACCAACCCATCTCAAAAAAAAAAAGAACACACAGCTCAACTCTCTCTCTCTCTCTCTCTCTCTCTCTCACGGAACTATCTTTGTCTCTAAATCTCACCTCACAATCCTGCTCTTTTCAACATCCACTCTGATCCAAGAGAAGAAAAAAAAAAGCTTTCTAGAGAGAGAAAAATGGGAGCTGAAACTTGCCAAGAAAGCAGCCACATCAACATCCCCATACAAAGTACAAGCTCAAAATGCTAGTGTTTGTCATACTCACCGCGTCCGGATCCTCTAGACTGGGATTTCCTGGAGTGATCCCTGAAGTGAGTGATCCAATGGCTCAAAATAAAACTAACCAAAACGACGTCGTTTTGGTTAGTAATTTCAACAACAAAAAAAAAACAAACTTTGAGGACAGAGATTTTGCAGTTTGCAGATCGAGAGGGAGGAGGAGAGAGAGTTGAGGAAATAGAGATTTTGCTGAATCTCTATTTATAGTTGGGTTGTTGGAGCAAAATCTTTATTTATTGTTTCTTGAATCTATTTCAAAATCTCTATTTATTTATTGTTTCTTGAATCTATTTCAAAATCTCTATTTATTTATTGTTTCTTGAATCTATTTCAAAATCTCTATTTATTTATTGTTTCTTGAATCTATTTCAAAATCTCTATTTATTTATTGTTTCTTGAATCTATTTCAAAATCTCTATTTATTTATTGTTTCTTGAATCTATAGTTGGGTTGTTGACGAAATAGAAATTTTGCAGAGATTGATTTTTTTTTTTTTTTTTTTTTTTTTTTTTTTTGGCTAAAAGAGTCAAAAAAATGCATAAAATTGAGTTTTAGATGGATTGCTAATGATTTTTGAAATTTCACAGCCGCGACGCCCGATACCCAATACGTACCGGTCGATATTACCGATACCGATACTCCGCGATCGATACTGTTACGTTACCCGATACCGCGATTTAGAATACGGATAATCTACTTCTGGGATTCATGGCTTGAGCTTCTTCTGGGTTTTCATTTCTCTCGGTGGAGAGTTTGTTTCAGTAGTAGAAGATAGTTGGTGGAGTGGTGGTGCAGTGGTCTCGCTCATCATCTCTAAGTTTTCAGTAGGAAGGAGGAGTGAGTGAACCTCCTCCACGATAGCTGGAACCAACCCATCTCAAAAAAAAAGAACACACAGCTCAACTCTCTCTCTCTCTCTCTCTCTCACGGAACTATCTTTGTCTCTAAATCTCACCTCACAATCCTGCTCTCTTCAACATCCACTCTGATCCAAGAGAAGAAAAAAAAAAGCTTTCTAGAGAGAGAAAAATGGGAGCTGAAACTTGCCAAGAAAGCAGCCACATCAACATCCCCATACAAAGTACAAGCTCAAAATGCTAGTGTTTGTCATACTCACCAACCTCCTCATCTACATCTTCACTGGCCCTTCCTTCAACCTCGACCCAATCTCCAAATACACTCAACACCTCTCTCTCTTCCCACGGGTTCAGCCCCTCCACCACCTTCTCATAACCCCCCGAATCCAACCACCTCAAGAATGGAACCGCATCTGCCACCGTAAACACCCTCATCAGTTCAATCATCAACCCCAAGCCTCTCTTATCACTGCTGTTCCAACTAGCTTTGATCTCTCTCCTCCACACCAAAACAGCGCTGCAATCTGTTATGGTCGAGTTGGTATCATTGTCCCAAAGGTTGTTCGGAGCTCATGGACGAAATGTTGCATTTACATTCAGCTCAAGCACTTGTGTAACTGAGATACTTCGGGATCGTGTGGACGTGCCATCAAATAGGAACACTCTTAATGGATTTAGAACTTTTTTTAGCGGCAAAGATCTGTCAGCCAAGAAATGTGTGTCGTGCAACTCTGGAGATATGAGGCCCATGACTGAACAAGCAGCCAATCAGTTGATCCAACAGGTTCCTGAATGGAACTTGACAAATGATGGTGGTACGATGAAGCTGAATCGCTCATAGAAAGTCAAGACTTTCTTGAAAGTCTTGGAGTTCTTTCAGGCTGTTGCTAATGTTGCTGAAACAGAAGGTCATCATCCAGATCTTCATCTTGTCGGATGGAACAATGTGAAAATTGATATATGGACCCATTCTGTTGTTGCTGCTACATGTTCATGGATGATATTCCGAAACCCAATCTCAGCTATGAATGCCTTTGGTTGTGGAGTGACACTTGTGGGATGCACATTTTATGGTTATGGGGAGTGACACTTGTGGCATGCACATTTACGCCCCACCAGTAACAAACCACTAGTACGCCCCACTCTCCACATAGTCTGAAGGAGTTGATTCCTCTGGTGACGCTTCCATTGAAGATGAGTTTAATGGGCTGAGGCGTTGAAGACATACAAATGGTTATTTGCTAGTTGATGAATGGCCGGGGTTTAAAATTTTTATTTTTATTTTGAATGTTTGTGAGGATTTTGTTTTATTCATCTCCTTCAGATTTGTAATATCTAAAATGTTGTAATAATTCTTCATCCATACTTCTTATTTATCTCATTCGTTAATCGCTTTCCCTAACTGTACATATGTATATATCTAACATGCCATGCATATCCATGCTTTGCATCCATGATTCATGCCTAGATCCAGCTAAGTTTTCATCTTTGTGCTTTAATTGATTCTTATATGATTTTGTGCACTATCACATGTTTTGCAATGTTTCACAAGTCATGTTTTAGAAGCCGGATCTTTAGAAGTATTCTTGTATATGTATTGCATTAGGATTTGTATATAGAACCATGCATATTTTACTAACTTTGTTTTGTAGTTTGTTCGCGGGACGTCGGTAAATATGTGAGCTTTTATACTTTAGCATCTCATTTGTATATAATTTTCTTATTATGTTTAGCATTCTACCATGAGGCTATTTGCTTATGTGGTATAACTCTATGAATGCCAATGAATGGAAGTTGTGTCACTTAATTCGGAATAATGTTAATTTTCATATTTGTAAACTCCATTTATTTTACTTACCCCAAAAAAAAAACTCCATTTATTTGGGTTATATATTTCCAAATCTCTTTCAAAATACATGAAATCAAATTATTCCAAAATGAATGGTATAGTACTCTATATTTGTATGCTTCACATAGTAAATTTTAGGATTATTTAATCAAAATATGAACATATAAAGAAAATAAAATTCATATCATGGTTAGTAAAGGACGATCTTTTGATCGGGTGAGCGGGGGTGTTCAATTAATGACATTCCCTTCTCATACCTAAGGTTCCGAACTGAGACAACTTTGGTTATGACAAACAGTAGCCTTGGCACGAGTCATGGATTTCCTAATTTCCTAAAATATTAGATGGCGACTCTAAGATCTGATGATGCAGTCCATTTGTGGCAATGATTTTTGCAATAAAATAGATTATTCTAAAAGTTGTCAAATCTGGACTCTCATCTGTGTTTCACATTGTACTCATGAGACTAGAATCAAACAAATCGAGTGTCCAAACTATTTAATGCGCACAGGTACCCCCCAGGCATGTTACAGTAACGCACTTATGATAGGTCAAGAATTAGTCCGGGAAGCAACGGAGAAGGTTGCGCTTATTCGTAAGAGTTTGGTTTCGACTTAGAGTCTTCAGAAGAGCTATGTTGACCGTAGGAAGAGGTCTTTGTTTTTTAAGGTGGGAAATCATGTGTTTCTTAAAATATTGCCAAGACAGGGTTTGGTGAGATTTGGAAAGAGTAAGAAGTTGTCTACTAGATTTATTGAGCCTTTTAAGATTCTAGAGCAAATTTGGGAGGTAACTTATCGTTTGAACTTGCCACCCCAACTTTTTGATGTTCATGACGTGTTTCATATCTGTATGTTTTGGAAGTACGAGTGTGATCCTTTACACATGTTGGACTAAACGGAGTTAGAAGTAGATAATAATGTTTCATATCAAAAGAGACCAGTACGGACGTTAGATACTTGAAATCAAGTCTTAAGGGGCAACACTATCCCATTACTTAAGGTGTTGTGGCGACACCATAGAGTCTAAGAGGCGACTTGGGAGCATGATGCGAAAGTCCGTGAGAAGTAGGACCTATTTGTTGGTGTTTTAGTTTTATATTTAAATTTCATTGCGTTACAATATATTAATGTTATGATGTTTGGAAATTTGAAACTTTAATGTTTATGGGTTGAATGGCTATATCATACCACTGTTTCTAACAAAGTTAATATTGCAATTGGAATAATCTGTGTTTGAGGTTTGATTTAAATTTCATGGACGGAATTTCTTAAGGGGGGAGATTATAATGGTTCCAATTTAAACCCTTTTTCATGTTTTTAGATCCGAAATTTGTGTACCTTTAATTGTTGTTTATACCCTTATCATGTTATTGTTAGTTGAGTTTGGTTGTTTAGAGTTGTTAATTGTGTTTGAAACAGGTTGAGAGTTAGTTTTTCAAAAGAGCTACTATCCATTTCTTTTCTTGTTTGCTCGAGCGGTTCTTTGGTCGCTCAAGCGGTCTTTGAGATCTTCCTATATTTTGTAAGCTTGTAAAACTTCTAGAAGTAGGGTGATCTTCGCTCGAGTGGTCTTTTCTTTGCTCGAGTTGTCTTTTGCATGTCTGAACTTCTAGGAAGGGGTTGTTGTGCACTCAAGCGGTGCTACTTAGTGTGTCTAACGCTCTAGCAATGGTTTGGTCACTCAAGCAGTCTATGCGTGTATCAGATCCGCCGGGGGGAGGGGGAGGGGGGAAGCCTTTTTCAGTCACTTTTTAATCTCTCTCTCTCTCTCTAAAACACTTCTAAAACTAATTTCTTCACTCACTCACTCTTTCTCTCTCTCTCTCTCTAGTTCTTGCCTAAATACCTCAAATACACCCAAATCTATTAATTTATCCACCATAGTTCCTTAGAGAAAAAGGCAGAGCTCGTTGAAAGTTTCGTTTTAATTGGAGAAGAATTTGTTTTCGGCTCCATCAAACTTCTACTCTTGCTTTCTTCCTCTTCTATACTTAAGATAGAGATTTCTTCAACCTTTGTATGATTCTTAGCTTGGTTATTTGTTTTTTTAAAAAGGTTTAGTGATTGAGAGACTTTTGGATTTAAATCTAGGGTTTGATTTTAGAATGTAAAAGGTGAGTTTTTCAAATGGATTCTTGAGAAAGGTTGGGAGTGTAAATATTGTTGGGTTGTGTTAAAATGTTGGAAATTCCTCCATAAAATGTGATTTTTGAAAGTAAATGATGTTTTATTAGAAAATCATTTGATATTTGATTATAAAAAAAAGAAATGATGTTGGGTTTGAAAAGATAAGATGAATGAATCTGTTAATGATGAGAGTGAAGTTGGATATATATATTATCGCTTCCATTTTAAAATTTATAAGATTATATATCGATGAAGGATAACTTTAATTATCGTAGAAATTACATGAGAATTAGGTTAATTGAAACTAATTACTCATACACACCTTGGTGAATCTGGTTAGAGGGTGTGGTTGTGATTTATTATGTTGGCCTCTGTCTCCTTGGTGAAAGTCTAAAAACCCGCGCGGTTAGGTGCCGATCCTTCCGGTTAGTACCGGTAAAATGGCTTTGGTAGTGCTTGTATAGCCTACTAGTAGACACGTACCTAGATATTTCCATTAATTTGTATCCACTGCCTTGTTTTCTGATTTAAAAAGCATTATTTTAAGAAGTGATATGCACATAATTGAGACATTACATTGTTTTGAAAGAGAAAGCATAATGTTTGGCAAATGGTATGCACATGCATTCACTTTATGATTTTGTTAAATTTCATACATTTTGTTTAAGTATCTCTACTGGGCTTTAGCTCACCCTATATAGAAAACAACTTGGGAGGACTTGAAGCCGAGAGTTTCTTTTTGTGTAATTATTTTCTGCAAGTTTTGGGCTTTCTATGTATTGAGTTTAACTCACTTTTGTTGTACCCAAGCAATGACTTTGAAAGATGTAGTCATTTGACCATAAACTTGATTGTACTTCCTTTTATTACCATTCATTTACACAAGTCATATGCTATAGATTCATTATCTAGGATTTGTGAATGTATATATGTATATGTCATCTTTTGTACGCCGAAATAGAATCCATGAAAGATTAATATCATGTAAATTTCTACTTTTCCATTAAATATTGTGATATGCATTGTTATTATTATTTTGGGGCGTTAGACGAACCCTACTTCCTCACCTTTCGCAGCCATTGCCCAACTTCCCCCTAGTGTCAGCTGCCACTATCTCGACCCATCAACACCACTATTGTGACCTCCCATGCCTCTCATCGACCTCTTTCTCTCTCTTTTTTGTGCATGTACGCAGTTGATGGAAGACATGATCGTGATGGCGAAGATGCAACGGTAGAGGCTGTAGAGATGGGCTATCACGAGGTGACGAAGATGACAGAGTGGTTGAGGTGGTCAAGGGAAGAGGCCGGCGGTGGTGCGATGACTGGTTAAGGTTAGAAATTTTTGGTGGTTTAGAAATTAGGGTCTTTGATGTGGAAGATAAAGGGTATTTTGGTATTTTTATTTTAGGATAAAAATGTAATGAAAAAATTCATTACATGTGCAGAGTGAGAGGAATTGGTGTGTGGAAATAGAATTTTCCCAAACAAATTTGTTTTCATTTTTTTATATACAATATTACTCTTACTAACTAATTTTATATTTCAAACTTTAAACTGATATAACTTTTGATTTATATATTAGTTTTTAATAAAATTAAAAATTTTAGAATTCTCTCATCAAAATCTATAAAATAAGATTCATGTTGATTATAAAATTCTTTTTTTAAAAAAAAGTCATAATTTTTTTCCTGTTGAATAGCGTCAAAAGTAAAATTTTACTGTGAAACAAAGTAAAATTTTACTGTAAGGGGTACTTACGTGTAGGTCCTAATAAGTGGACTTATTGTCTAATAGGTCCTATCAGAAAAATTTGTCATAAAAAAAGTCACTAATTGTAAGTTTTAGTGACAATTTATAAAAATCATGACAAAAAAAATCACTAATTGTCAATTTATATTTGTCTTTAATGCATTAAACTTTTATTATGAGATGGTTTTAACCAAATCCTTTACTAATGGGGGAAAAATGACGTTTTTAACCATTGCTAGACATAATAAGTTGTGTTAAATAGTTGTCTTTGTCATTCTTTTGTCTCCTAAATTAGCTGAAATTCCAATTGTATATATATACATACATACTTAAATAGTTAGAAAATAATTGTTTTTAA